ATGAAGAGACATATGCTTTTAGGTAGAATTACTAAAATAAACTTGTCTTATATTTCCATATAGTGTTTAGCTACAGCCTGGTTTCCTGTTTAGTATTTTGAGGAGGTCATAATTGGTGCTTTTAAGCTGGAGGTGAAGGATGAGACTTCTTCAGTTTGTGCTGATGTGCTGTTCATCAGTCTCCTGGTCACAACATGCTGTTCTCTGAGGAGCTCAGTGTTGGTCTCACTGCTGCCCTCAAAAAGTCACCACCGTTTTATTGACCTTTCTACACAATCATAGCTATTTCAGGTATTTGTGGTCGACATTCAACATTTTTACTAACAAACTGCAATGCTATTTTACTAATCATACAAAAAATAAAAGAAGCACTCCTAGAAGCCCTCCATGCCAGAGTTTTAAACAAAACTGCGTTCTTGTGGTCCTTTCTACCTGTTTTTTATTGATTTTTATATACAAACATATTTATAAATTTATTTTACATTGACAGCAAAATGTCCTCACTGTTGCCATTGGAATGACAGCACATCACAGCTGGTAGCACAGGTATAAATAATGAACACCATTTAGACTAAGTTCATTAAATTCAACTGAAAGTAGGTGTGTGACTACATCTAGACCACAATGCACTGCAAAATACAAGATTATGCACATTAGTATTTGTAAAAAGGCAATGTTATCCAGTACAAAACTACTGAGTGATATAAATACAGGTGAGCATTATTTAAAAATGTGTCCTTTTCTGCAGCTTTTAGCTGCATAGCATTAGCCTTTGGCCAGCATCACATTAGTTAGCACTATAGCCTCACAGCAAGAAGGTCCTGGGTTCAAGGATTTTTTTATTGTCATACCAGCACGATGGATCAGTGGTTAGCACTGTTGCCTCACAGCAAGAAGGTCCTGGGTTCAGTCCCCGGTTGGACCTGGGGTCTTTCTGTGTGGAATTTGCACGTTCTTCTCGTGATTGTGTGGGTTTCCTCCCACAGACCAAAAACATGCCTGTTAGGCTGCCTTCAGGCCCAGGCCTCCCTTGCAAAAGAGATCAGTGATATCTCAACGTGATTTACCTGGTTAAATAAAAGTTAATAAAATTATATATATAAATATATGTATATATACAGTGCCTTGTGAAAGTATTCGGCCCCCTTGAACTTTTCAACCTTTTGCCACATTTCAGGCTTCAAACATAAAGATATAAAATTTAAATTTTTTGTGAAGAATCAACAACAAGTGGGACACAATTGTGAAGTGGAATGAAATTTATTGGATGTGTCAAACTTTTTTAACAAATAAAAAACTGAAAAGTGGGGCGTGCAATATTATTTGGCCCCTTTACTTTCAGTGCAACAAACTCACTCCAGAAGTTCAGTGAGGATCTATGAATGATCCAATGTTGTCCCAAATGACTGATGATGATAAATAGAATCCACCTGTGTGTAATCAAGTCTCCGTATAAATGCACCTGCTCTGTGATAGTCTCAGGGTTCTGTTCAAAGCGCAGAGAGCATCATGAAGACCAAGGAACACACCAGGCAGGTCCGAGATAATGTTGTGGAGAAGTTTAAAGCTGGCTTTGGATAAAAAAAGATTTTCCAAGCTTTAAACATCCCAAGGAGCTCTGCGCAAGCAATCATATTGAAATGGAAGGAGTATCAGACCACTGCAAATCTACCAAGACCCGGCCGTCCCTCTAAACTTTCATCTGGAACAAGGAGGAGACTGATCAGAGATGCAGCCAAGAGGCCCATGATCACTCTGGATGAACTGCAGAGATCTACAGCTGAGGTGGGAGAGTCTGTCCATAGGACAACAATCAGTCGTACACTGCACAAATCTGGCCTTTACGGAAGAGTGGTAAGAAGAAAGCCATTTCTCAAAGATATCCATAAAAAGTGTTGTTTAAAGTTTGCCACAAGCACCTGGGAGACACCAAACATGTGGAAGAAGGTGCTCTGGTCAGATGAAACCAAAATCGAACTGTTGGACACAATGCAAAACGATATGTTTGGCGTAAAAGCAACACAGCTCATCACCCTGAACACACCATCTCCACTGTCAAACATGGTGGTGGCAGCATCATGGTTTGGGCCTGCTTTTCGTCAGCAGGGACAGGGAAGATGGTCAGAATTGATGGAAGATGGATGGGGCCAAATACAGGACCATTCTGGAAGAAAACCTGTTTGAGTCTGCAAGAGACCTGAGACTGGGACGGAGATTTATGTTCCAACAAGACAATGATCCAAAACATAAAGCCAAATCTACAATGGAATGGTTCACAAATAAACATATCCAGGTGTTGGAATGGCCAAGTCAAAGTCCAGACCTGAATCCAATCGAGAATCTGTGGAAAGAGCTGAAGACTGCTGTTCACAAACGCTCTCCATCCAACCTCACTGAGCTCGAGCTGTTTTGCAAAAAGAATGGGCAGAATTTCAGTGTCTCCATGTGCAAAACTGACAGAGACATACCCCAAGAGACTTGCAGCTGGAACTGCAGCAAAAGGCTGCGCTACAAAGTATTAATGTAAGGGGGCCGAATAATATTGCACGCCCCACTTTTCAGTGTTTTATTTGTTAAAAAAGTTTGACACATCCAATAAATTTCATTCCACTTCACGACTGTGTCCCACTCGTTGTTGATTCTTCACAAAAAATTTAAATTTCATATCTTTATGTTTGAAGCCTGAAATGTGGCAAAAGGTTGAAAAGTTCAAGGGGGCCCAATACTTTCGCAAGGCACTGTATGTAATATAAATGTGTGTGTGTTATATATGTATATGATGTTATGGTGTTATCATTGATGAAAAACTGACATGGATGGAAACATCACATAAATTCTGTAAAAATAAAAATAGCGAAATCTATTGCAGTACTGTACAAAGTAAGGGCGTTATTAAATGATAAAGTTCTGTATATGTTGTATAATGCAATAATTGTTCCACACTTAATCTATTGTATTCATGTTTGAGGGAAAGCTTGCAAAGCAATTACAAATCCTATTTTTGTTTTACAGACAAGAGCTGTAAGAATTATTACTAGAAAGCATTTGAGTCACCCATCAAGTACTTTATTTTATCAACTGAAGTTATTGAAGTTCCATGATTTGGTAGATTATAATAGTTTATCAGTTTTGTATAGGGCTCGTAATAATACATTACCTAATTAAATTTTGTTAAAAGAGAGAGTTGTTATAATCTTAAGGGGACAGAGATATTTGTGACACCTAAATTTAGAACTAGTTTGAAGGAACGGTCTACTTCAATCCAAAGAATTAGATTATGAAATAATCTGGAGAGTGATGTTAAAAATGTCAGATCAATGTGCATGTTTAAGAGAATGCTCAAAGCTGGTTTGTTAAAAAAAAATGAAATAGCTTAATGTGTATTTGTACGAACTGTTGCTCGAGAAGGAGTTATTTATTTTGTTTTTGTTATTTGAAGATTATTTTTGTTTGAATACATTTTTTTGCTAAAAGGGGCAGATATAATAAAAAAAATGATTTCTGCTGATTGTATTACTTATTGTATATAGAATTGTTTTGTTTTGTTAAAAATGAATAAACTTTCTAATAATAAATAATAATAATATATATATGTAGGGAAATTTTGAAGATTAAATTACCTTCAAATGAGTCAACAGTAAGTCGATCAGGTTGTGTACCTGTTAACACGACTGTGTGTGCACTTTATGTCAGGGTTTGTTTTGAGACACCGTCACTGCACTGGATCCTGGTTTGTGACTAAATAAAGAATTAGAAATAGAATCATAAAAGCCCCTCTTTACCAGCTGGGACTATTTTATTTATTATTGAATATATGGCTTGTCTACTGAACAGTATCTAAATGTAATAACGTAGCTTCTCTCCTACTGACAGGTGAAGCTGGAACTTTAAAACATGTTGTCATAAAATCAAAACTCAGAGTCTTTGCACTTGATTCACCTTATGGTGTTCCACCTGGTAGATTACCGGAGCAAACAGCTTCATGACAGGCAGTCGGCCACCCCAGGAGCAGAGCTCTGCATCTTAAAACTATAACATGGAAACACCATTTCTCCTCTAATGGGGGACACTGCCCTTCACGACCTGGTCAGGAATCCACTTTGCTTGGTCTCTCCGTCATCAGGTGACCCTGAATGTCCCGTCATCAAGAGGTCGGAGGGACTCCGTGTGTGATGAGACATTAATGTAAAACAAAAAATATAGGAACTAGGTGCCTTTAGCATTTACATGCTTCAAGGATGTACATGTGATTTACTGGTAGTCTCATTTGGCAATTGATCATAATAAAACCGCAATAATCAGTTTTGAGATGTCCTCCTGATCTTGGGATGACCAGGTTTAATATTTACTCAGACCAACGATGTTTGACGGTTGAATCATGTCAGAAGATGAGCAACTCAGAGGTGTCTACTGTTTGTAGGAGATAATTGGATACAGACGTGTCTTCTGGACCTCCTGATCCCATCCTTTCATTTTACCTTTGAGGAAATAATAGATGCTGAGTGTACTGAGAGGGAGGGTACGTATATTAAAGAGCAGGGAGAGGGAAGCTCTGCAGTAATACCTGTGAAACACTGACAGACTGAGAACTTCAGCACCAGATCAACTTTAATCATAAAGGAAGATCTTGATTTTAATTTTTCAGAGCTGAAACCAAGGTAAGGACATGTCCTCGCAGGTAGGTTTGCTGTAGCTGCAAGCTTTCATTCCTCAACCATTCAAGCTTGTTTTTTTAAGAGAACTCTGTGTTTTGTGCAGCAATTTAAAATAAAGTGAATACTTAAATCCCTAAATTTATATTTTTCTAAACGCTTGACCACTTTTTATGTGTTTAATTTGTTGTTTTCATGCAAGTATTTCCATTTCGACCTGTCGTTTTAGGAGGAAAACTGCTATTTTCTGAAATTGTTTCTTAGAGAAAACGCGAACCCAGAAAAACTTCCTTTGTGAGCGTAGATGAGTGAACTTTCTAAATGTGTGTGGTTGCTTGTAGGTAAAATATGATGTCTCGGCTGGTTTTGTTGCTGGGGCTGCTCCTGTATGTGGGGGCTCAGCTGTCCTCCGCCCAGCACTGGTCCCATGGGTGGTACCCCGGAGGCAAACGGGAGCTAGACTCCTTCGGAGCTCCAGAGGTTCGGATTAGTATTTTTGTGCGCGTGTGTCGTTTCTTCATTCTCTGAGCAGGTTTTGTTGAGGCTGAAGATTCTGTTGATGTTTGTCTTCAGATGTCAGAGGACATTAAGTTGTGTGAGGCAGGAGAATGTAGCTACCTGAGACCCCAGAGGAGGAATATCCTGAGAGACATTGTTGTAAGTGGACAATTAGAAACAGTTTAAAACAATTAAACCTCAATTTCCACCCTTTAATAACAGCTTTTATAGCCTGCTTTCTCATGAACTTTGTACAGAGAATGTTAAAAAATACAGTAAAAAATCAAATATACAGTAGAGCTGAATAATTTTGATCTGGTGTTAGAAACTTCTGGTCAATGTAAACTAATTGTATATTCTGTCATTCTGTCTCCTCACAGCTGGATGCTTTGGCCAGAGAGCTTCAGAAAAGGAAATGACCACGGCATCATTTTATTTTATTGTTTATTTATTTATTTATTTTTCATTTTACCTTTGAGCATCTGCTCAAGTGTCTTTGTTAGTGTTAGAAAATGATGTTATCTTTTTGTTACTTTTATCAGTTAAAGCTTTAAAGTCTGTTTTTTTTCCCTCTGTAGCAAAAAATTGTGAAACATATGATGCCCCCAAAATAAATTGTGTTTTCATACTTTTGTCTACTCATTAGTGATGTTCAGTCACTCAAACTTTGACAAGTTGCAGATAAATGATGTACTAGTAGTAGTGCATGGTAACAGAAATAGACTGTACTAAAAACTGACAACAAGCACATATAAAATATTGTAATTTTTCCACTAAATTTGTTTTATGCTTTTTTATATATATATATATATATATATATAT